GATGTTTGATAGTTTTGCCAGGTTTTAAGCAACTAGACGACCTGTGAAAATGTTGGAGCTAACGTTTCAGGAGTAGACCCAGGAACTGTAGATTTCTAAAGCCAGCCTGGCACACAGAAGGCTCTTCTTGGATTTGCCGAATAAGTGGAAATGACCACATGTGAGGTTTGAAACCCTTACATATACCTTTGATTTATATATTTCTGAGTTTGGAGGCTCCCGTGCATCTATATTATAGATATTTTGCCTTATAAGCCACACTGCTGTTCAGTCAGTAGATATTTTGATCCTAAGAAGCTAGATGATAGACATTCTATCTCTGAGTGCCGCAAGCATTCATATTGTTTGTTAGTGTACATAAAACATGATTTTGTTAATCTTGGGCCAGCTACAATCAAACTGTAAATGAATTTGTCTGGCTTTAATTTGATAAACTTAATAATTTCTTTCGTCCTGTGATCCACCATTACCTGCAGAAAATTATTACATGGTTTCCCTTCTTTGCCATGTGGCAGATTATAGAGTTGTTCCTTTTCAAGCTCCTCATTTCCTTGCCAGGTACAAGAACTGAGAATTATTTTGTACTGTTTTACTTAAAGCAGGAAGATGGGGGATTGAGATGGGAAGCGGTTTTTGTTGCATCCGATGAGTTGTGTGCAGAGCTCTGCCCAGTACATTTAATTAACTCTTGCCATTGGAATTAATCATTATTAGGATCTAAGTTTGTGGAATGGTCTCAGGAGGCCACCTTAATTACCAATGCAAAACCTTCCTTTCTCTCAAGGGATCAGAGTAGCACAGTGGCAGGTGGAAAGACACCGAAGGAGTGTGTTAACATGTGACCAGGAGAAAAACATGAATGTCAGTGACAGGGTTTTCCAAAATGGGCTAGGAAGATGGTTCCTTGGACTGGAACTTTTACTTACTATTTCTTATTACTTATTTCTTGGAAGCTTGTATTTATCCTTGAAAAGTAAATGACAAATCTGCACATACCATGCCCGTGGATATTCTGTGCAGAACATGGACTACAGCATGGCCCTGTGGCATTCCAGCTCTAGCTTTTTTTTTTTTTTTTTTGGTCCGGTCAAAGGGCCTGAACTCTGGGCCTGGGTGCTATCCCTCAACTCTTCAGCTCAAGGCTAGCGTTCTACCACTTGAGCCACAGAGCCACTTCCGGCTTTTTTTCTTTTTGTTTATGTGGTGCTGAGGAATCGAACCCAGGGCCTCATGCATGCAAGGCAAGCGCTCTACCACTGAGCCACCTTCCCAGCCCCCAGCTCTAGCTTTTTTAAAAAAAAGTGTTGGTTGTGGGGCTTGAACTCAGAGCCTGGCATAGTCCCTGAGCTTGTTTGCTCAAGGCTAGCACTGCTTGGTGCCACAGTTCCACTACTAGTTTTCTAGTGGTTACTTGGAGATACTAGTATCATGGACTTTCTTACCCAGGCTGGCTTCTAACCTTGATTGTCAGATCTCAGCCTCCTAAATAGCTAAGATTACAGGCATGAGCCACCAGTGCCTGGCTCTGGTTCTAGTTCTCTTGGTGCACCTTCTAGCTCTTAATTACTTATGAGTAGCCTGAATCTCAGGCTCTTTGACGTGACATGTTTGTTCTGGAGCATCTGAAAGTTAACTTTAAGCACAAATAGCTAGGGCAGGTTGAAAAAGATGCTCCTGGAATTAAATTTGTCTGAGTCATCAGTGTTGACACTTGTCAAGTTTCTGTCCTGGAGGGAAGTGAGTCACCTGCCCCAGAACTCCTGTGGCTTTGCAGTTGGTAGCTGCACACTGTTGTGAATCCACACTTACAGCTCTCGTTTTCCCTTCCGCGTTTGCCTATGATCAGAATCGATGTCCACCGTAAAGAGAATGCAGGGGCTGCCGAGAAGTCCATTACTATCCTCTCCACCCCTGAAGGCACCTCTGCGGCTTGTAAGTCTATTCTGGAGATTATGCATAAGGAAGCGCAAGATATAAAATTGTGAGTAAAGAGGGCTTGCCTGTGAAAGAGGTTTCTAGTTGGTCTATTTTAGGTTTCTTTGACACAGTTCTTGGGGATAATCGACAAACAAAGGGAAATGTTATTCCAATGTGTGACAATTCAGTGTTAGGCATAAGACGCTTAAAATATTTTACTATTTGATTTGCATGCATGTTTGAATATGGAGCCAATGGCGTAATGGGGAAGAGATGTCCAGCTGTAGGGGAAGGCAGCTGGGGCAGGGGGGCGTAGAGGGCCCACTTAGAACTCAGGAATGTTCTGGAATTTACCTGAGATGGACATACCAGTCCTTTAGTGAGAGTGGGACCTCTGGTCTTGTCCTCTGCCTAGACCCCACACAGAGGAATGTTGGAGTTCAAGAAGTTCCCAATTCTGTGCTGAGGTAAACTGGAGATTTATTTGGGGGTTACGTGTGGGAATGATGTCTCTCTCTCCATAGGAACTTGGAGTAGAGTTGGTTTCCATGCCACTTTATTGCAAAAGAGGGACTGTACTGCAAGTAGGATCCAGAGTAGGCCTCTCACATTAGCCCAGGACCTCACCACCCACTCGTCATTTGTAGAGACCACTGACTAGCTTCTGGTAATAAATTCGGTGTGGGCACTGCATCATAGCAATTCAGTTATTTTTGGATATGAAAAAAGCCCACTATCTGATAACCATAATGACATTAAAAAAAAAAAGAGTGCTATGTTTATGGCTTAGAAATTCTCAAAGGTATAGAACTGTAAAGTGACAGTCTACTTTTTGCTTATACCATGTCCCAATGTGTGACCACTGTTGAGTTTCTTTTGTTTTCTTCTTATGCATATATCTCCAGGTATGTATCATTAAAGTTTATACTATTTTGCATTTATATATTGTGTTCTTATATAAGAAGTTTAGGTGAGTAAGAGAATCTATCACTGAAGGGAGATACTGAATTTGATCAAGGAAAGTGTGTGTGTGTGTGTGTGTGTGTGTGTGTGTATTGTTTGATGATTGGAGATGAGTTTGTCTGCTTGGGCTGGCTTTGAACCACAATCCTCAGATATCAGCCTCCTGAGTAGTTAAGGTTATAGGCATTTGCCACTGGCAGCTTGGTAGAAAAACTTTTAAAAATGAGCTCATTAAATACTCAGTAAATTAATACTTTCTATCCAAGAGTAGGTTTACTTTCCTCATTTTTTAAACCATTTTCTCTCTACAGCACAGAAGAAATCCCCTTGAAGATTTTAGCACATAATAACTTTGTAGGTCGTCTTATTGGCAAAGAAGGAAGAAACCTTAAAAAAATTGAACAAGACACAGACACTAAAATCACAATATCTCCGTAAGTGCTGCCTTGCCTTTAAATCAGAAATCTATAAACACTGCTTTAAAATTGTATGTCTTCTATTAAACTTCTATTAAACTCTGTACAGCTGTTTCAACAAGCATGGACAATCACACTAAATATTAATTGTCAAACTTAGACCACCACCCACTCCAACTCATCCTGAAGCATGGTCTCCCGTAGAAGAGATAGGAAGAACTGATTACATTCATATTTCTAGTCTTGATGGTTTTTTTTTTTTAACATTCTAAGCATTAGAACAGAGAGCCTCAGGCTTCCTGTTCTTGCTTAATTTTTTCTGCTCACAGCTGATGCTCTACCCACTTGAGCCATGCCTCCATTGCTGTCCTTTGCTGTGTGGTCCTACATTGCTCAGCTTCAGACACTAATGGCTCAGGATCTTAGATTGCTTTGAGAGTCCTGTTGGTAGGAGCCTCAGCAGCTTATCACATGGGCCTCTTCAAAGAGCTACCTGTCCCAGCAGGAATGACTTAAGAGAGGTAGAAGCTGGCATGGTTTTTATGACAAAGCCTCAGGAGTGTGTGTGTGTGTGTGTGTGTGTGTGTAGTACTACTGATCGAATCCAGAGCCTTGAACACACTAGACAAAACACTAACCATTTAAGTCATACCCCAACCTTCCCTCCCCCCACCCCCAGCCTTACCAAGCTCTTCATCCCTTGGTAACTTTATTTGATGCTTTGAACTCAAGATCATCCTGCCTCTTGGGTTGTTGGTATTAAAGGTATATGTCATCAGGCATGACTAGAAGTTCCACTCTTATTTTCCTAGTATTTATACAAGTGCCTACTGCAGGGACTACAAATAACTTGGAAATGGGTGTCATCTTGGAGGTGGCCAATAAACCACCAATGCTGTGTGTGTGTGTGTGTGTGCATAAAAATATTACTTTTTTCTTTTGTCTTAGTGGTGGCAAGGGAGTGTTGGCATTCTTAGTTTCCCTCAGAAAAAAGGTAGAAAGAGATGGATGAACTGAAAAAAAGTGATTAAAATTGCAAAACAAAATGCTTGGCAGGGCTTTGTCTAACAACTAGACTTCATACTGTTAATTTTATATTGTTTTACATTTTAACCCATTTGAGAAAGTTAAGGATTAGTATGTCATTCATTTGACTCAGGGTTAGTCTACATTTTCCTAGTGTGAATTCTAGTAATGTGAAGGAGTTACCACTATGCCCTATCTTTTCAGTCTGTTGTCCACTGTAGTGTCTCTATTGCTTTTCCTCTCAAGGCTGTTGGCCAGTTTAGGCCTTAAGTTTCCTCAGATAAAAGTTTTAGTAGATTTTGAAGCTTCAGCATGTCCTGTGTTAAGCAGGAAATTTTTGAACGTTGTTATTGAATGTTTTTGGAGTCTGGTCATCAGTTAACCATTTAAAAATTTTACTTGAGACAGACTGAGTTATTTCCTCCAGCCTACTTTAACTTCTGAAAATGTCGGCAAAAAAATAATGCTTAGATGCATGGATTTTGGGTTGACTTTTGGTATTATTTCCATGCATTTTCTTTGCTTAGTGACCCAGGAAATGCAACTGCACAAAAGGCCAATTAAGCCTAGAATTGGTCAGTACAGATTTGGAACATACTAAAAGGTGTTACGCCCTTACAATGGTACATCCCTTCCCATCGTTCCTGTGGAATTCACTGAAATTGTGAAAACAGTTTGGTTTTAAGTGCCCAAGAAGTAAGCCATGTTTAAACTGGGGCTTAAACTATGTAACTTGATAATGTTTGAGAGGGGAAGCGGGGAGAAGAAAGGCTTTCTCCCCCACAACTTTACAGTTCTTGGATTCCTATCTTTTGGAGCTTATTTCCCATCATGTTGGACCACCCACTTGTACATAATGCCAGGCTCTATAATTTTCCATCTGTGGATTAATTATTAACCCGTCTTCCTCCTGTAATTTCTATCCTTTCTATTTCCCCTCTCTTTTCAATCTACAGATTGCAGGAATTGACGCTGTATAACCCAGAGCGTACCATCACAGTGAAAGGCAGTGTCGAAACCTGTGCCAAAGCTGAGGAAGAGATCATGAAGAAAATCAGGGAGTCTTATGAAAATGATATTGCTTCTATGAACGTTAGTTTTAATGCAAAGTTTTTGTTTCATGAAGTGAAAAGATTTCCTAAATTGTATTATTTCTTTCAGTGGTAGCATCATAAACAGCTTTTTAGCAACGTATGAAGTATGCTTGGGTATTAGGAAAGACAGAATTATTAGGCTTAGCTATCTCTTCTTAGTAAATTGCAAGGCAAGTGCTCTACCACTGAGCCACCTTCCCAGCCCTCTTTTTAGTAAATTATTTACCTTTTGAGCCTTGGCTTCTTTAAATGTGAGGATGTTTGTATCTGCCAATTAAAGATGAATACTTTCTGTATTATGTTCATTTAAAGGACACTCTAGAAGGAATGGGCTTTACAGGCATGTGAACTGGACTTGAATTCCACTCCAATCAGTGAAGAGCTGCAGCCCTCTTCCCTTTACTCTTTTTCTAAGCCTTTGCTTCACCATAAAATGGAGTTGTGATCTTGCATGTTTATTAGGATTGCAACAGCTATAGTTCATATAAAAGTATTTTTACAAAATAACTGGTTTTTCTGGGCCCCAGTGTCTCACACCTGTAATCCAAGCTACTCAGGAGGGTGAGATATGTGAGTGTTGTGGTTCAAAGCCAGCCTGGGCAGACAAACCTGAGACTCTTATGCCCAATGAATCCCCCTCTTCCTGTTCCCATCCCCCAGAAAAAGCCACAAGTAGACGTATGGCTCAAGTACCAGAGCACTAGCCTTTAGGGGAAAGCAAGCCAAAGAAGCCAGGCACCAGTGGCTCATAACTGTAATCTTAGCTACTCAGGAGGCTGAGATCTGAGGGTCAAAGTTCAAAGTTAGACTGTGCAGGAAAATTTATAAGACTAATCCAATTAACCATCAAAAAATGGAAGTAGAGCTGTAGCTCAAGTGGTAGAGCACTAGCCTAGAGCACAAAAGCTCAAGGACAGCATCCAGGCAGAATTCAAGACCTAGTACTGGCACCAAAAAGGGACAACCAGATTTTAAGATATAGAGCACCTGCTGTGAAGCATAGTAAGTCCCTGAGTTCAAACCACAGTACTGCCAAAATATAGAAGTGCAGGTTTAAGAGCCAGCCATATCAGCTACTTGGGAGACTGAGTCAGGTAGATTCTGAGTTCAAGGCAAATACGATCAATTTACCAATGTCCCGTGTTAAAGATAACAACAACATAATAATAACCAAGGCCCTATGTTAATAATAGCAATAACAACATTTAGGGTCTAGAAGTGCAGCTCAGCAGTAGAATGCTTACCTCATGCACAATGCTATGCACTATAAAAAAAAACAAATTACAGCAAAGGTTTATAATTTAGTAGTTCCTCATATAAAACTTAGAGATGCGAGAATATTAAATGATAAAGTATTTTGTGCAGCGTATCTTGTCAAAGTCAATTCATGACATTTTTTAATTTGTGGAATGGTGCTGAAAACAGGTATTTTGGAAATTCTTGTTTCAAAAAAACCAGCCCATCTTAAGTTTTAAAGTAAGTGACATTGTTAACGCTGATGGGAAGAGCTAGATGCTCATCATCTTCTTGTTCTGCTTGTCCGTATATTTTAGAATTGACGGGATCCAGCCCCAAAATACCCAGCTTTCAGTTTTACTCTCCACCTTTTTCAACTCTTACTAAATGAAACAAAATTCCCTTAATGGCTCTGATGTCTATTCCAAAGATAAATTTTTTTGCAGTAGTTACATGAAATGGGATGTAATTTCCAGACTTTGTTTTAGGCTAGTCAGTTCAAGGAGTAAAAAAAGACCTTTGTACACTAGTTCTGTGTACCTGTTATTCAAATGCAAGATTGTCAGTCTGAATTTACAGGGTTCCCATAGCCAACAGTACTATTCTTTCTATCTGAGCACTGTGGGCTGCTGGTGTGAGAAATGAGGATGCTACTCTTTTTCCCCAAGGCACCTCAGTGCAGCTGTGGATTGGAGTGAGGGCGAGGGCAAACCACCCCACAAATTAAAAATGCCATGATTTGTAAACAGCTGTAAACTAAGTACTATTCCATGGAACATCTGCTTAGTTCTACAATGTGGTTCTTTTTCTTGGTTAGCCATGAGAGTGTAATCGGAATGCTGTCACTTAGAAATGCTCACTTTGAGGTTTTGAATCGTCAGATTAAAGGATGTTTTTACCATTGCAGCTTCAAGCACATTTAATTCCTGGATTGAACCTGAATGCCTTGGGTCTGTTCCCACCCACTTCAGGGATGCCACCCCCCACCTCAGGGCCCCCTTCAGCTATGACTCCTCCCTACCCACAGTTTGAGGTAAGGTCACTGGCCTCTGCTTGCTATATGGTTGAGTGGGATCCAATCAGGCAGACACTGCCTTATGGCCCTCCAGTAGTGTGATGTTTGGTGCTACCAGGGAAAAATCTTGATGAGGGACCATGTGTTCATATGGTCTCTCATTTGTTTGAAGCTACTGCTCTCTAGGTCTTGTCAATAGGACGTTTTAATTTGATTCAGTGAAAGTGATTTGATCTCAGTGAAAGTAATAAGCATGAGTTGTTTTGAAGCTTTTGGATGATAAGGTTGTCAACAAGTATTGAAATGTTTGTGACTTTATGGAAGAGGAAAGGGGTTTTTTGGTTGTTGTTGTTGGCTGCTATTGGTTTGGTTGTTTTGCAGTGTTAAGAATTAAAAAAAATAGCCGGGCTCTGGTGGCTCATGCCTGTAATCCTAGCTACTCAGGAGGCTGAGATCTGAGGATCGTGGTTCAAAGCCAGCCCGGGCAGGAGAGACGGTGAGACTCTTATCTCCAATAAACAACAAAAAAACGGAAAGGGCGCTGTGGCTCAAGTGGTAGAGCACTCGCCTTGAGCTGAAGAGCTGAGGGACAGCGCCCAGGCCCAGAGTTCAAGCCCCACGACCGACAAAAAAAAAAAAAAAGAATTAAAAAAAATAAAAGTTGAAGTAATTTCTTTTAATTGTTACAGTACAAGGGTTTTTAAAAAGGCTCCTTGCTATGTGTAGTGGTGAACACCTGCAATCTCAGCACTCAAACTGAAGCAGGAGGATCACAAATTCTAGGCCAGCAAATTACATAGTGAAACCCTATCTCACAAACAACAAAAATGGTTTCCTTCCTCTTTGTCACCTGGAAGTTTACTGCTTCAAGAAGTCAAGAAAAGCTGGGCACTGGTGGCTCATACCTATAATTCTAGCTACTCAGGAGACTGATATCTGAGGATTGCAGTTTGAAGCTAGCACGGGCAGGAAAGTCTGAGACTTTTTTTTTTTTTTTTTTCCAGTCCTGGGCCTGAACTCTGGGCCTGGGCACTGCCCCCGAGCTCTTCAGCTCTAGGTGAGCAATCTACCACTTGAGCCACAGGGCCACTTCTGGCTTTTTCTGCTTATGTGGTGCTGAGGAATTGAACCCAGGGCCTCATGCATGCAAGGCAAGTGCTCTACCACTGAGCCACCTTCCCAGCCCAAGTCTGAGACTTTTATCTCCACTAAACTACTCAAAAAAATCTGGAAGTAGCACTGTGACTCAAGTGGTAGAGCACTAGCCTTCAGCACAAAGAGGCTCATGGACAGTGCCTAGGCCCTGAATTCAAGTTCCAGGGCCAGCAAAAAAAAAAAAAAAAGACAAAATGTTTTGTTTTGATTATACAGTTTCTAGCCTATGATGTGAGATAATTTTGTACACAATTCTCTGTGTGTACTGTCTCTGTGCTTGTGCCTATACACACGCAAATATTAGACAACTTTTAATTCTGTAAGGAAGTAGACTATGTGAGAAATCTTATTTCTGTATCTGTTCTTAAAAATGACATTTTCCCTGGAAATAGACCAGGTATAGTGTGAAAATAATGGCACCACAGCAGACATCTAACACTGGTAATCATTATGAAAATAACTCAAAGATTAAGTTGCATTACCAGTGATAATTGGTGATAAACGTTCAAGTGAAATCGAAAACACTCTAGTGTCTTCCATCCTAAACCAATTCTGGGAAATATCCAAATGGAATAGATTGAGGATTCCATTTTGTCACTGCTCGAATAAATACGAGTGAAATGCCATTGCAATTCTGCATGGACTACCAATTACGAGATTGTCTGTGTCTTATCTCAGCAGGAATGAGGATTCTCTTTTCAGTCCTTGAGCTTGACAGGCTGGTAGCTGGTGGGACCTCCTACTCTCCAGCAGTGTTTCTTCCTTTGTCTGCATCCTCCCCTGACTCACTAGTCTTATACTGTATGTTTCTGGAAAATGTAGCAAATCTGAGGGTGGCCATCAAAACCATTGCTATAAATTGGGCACAGTGGCGCACATCTAATAAACCTAGCTATTCTGGAGGCTGAGATGGGAGAACTACTTACACCCACAAATTTGAAACTAGCTGAGGCTAGTAACAGAACATCTTTTTCTCCAAAAATACATTTTTTAAAAAAGCAAAATTTCAACTAATATCAAGTATGAATGGATTCATGACACATTTTTTTGTTTTGTTTTTTTTGGGGTGGGTCTGGTCGTGGGGCTTAAGCCACAGCACCACTTCCAGCTTTTTTCTTTTTTCTTATGTGGTGCTGAGGAATCGAACCCAGGACCTCTGGCATGCAAGGCAAGTGCTCTACCACTGAACTACCTTCCCAGTCCTCATGACACATTTTTTGAGGCTTCCCAATACAGGTAAAGGCAATCTGAAGTAGCTGCCATGTTTATACCCTTATACTAAAGGAGTCTGGAGGAAGGAGCTCTGATACCAGAACCCAGGTCTAGCCTTGCTCAGTCATGAGTTTGTCACTGAAGTTCAGATTCCAGTTTGTTCTGGGTCTGTTTTCTTACCAGCACAGGGAAAACTTAAACTGGATGGCCAACATCTGAAGACTTGGGTCAAACATTTCTGTTGACAACAGAGCTCAGTAATATGAAAATTGGAAGGGGTAAATTAGGAACTTGAGATATACAAACTCTAACATGCCCAGTAGTTTATAACAACTAGATATATTTGTCATAGGATTGATGTGCGTTGTTAGAGCAGATATAGCCATGAAACTTTTTTTTTTGTCTGTCATGGGGCTTGAATTCTGGGCCTGGGTGCTGTTCCTGATCTACTCAGCTCAAGTGCTCTACCACTTGAGCCACAGTGCCCCTTTGGCTTTCTTGTGTTTAGTTGGAGATAAGAGTCTCACAGACTTTCCTGCCTAGACTGGCTTTGAACTGCAATCCTCAGATCTCAGCCTTGTACGTAGCTAGGATTACAGGCGTGAGCCACTGGTGCCCAGCTCATGACACTTCTTTTAAATGGCCTTTATTAAAAGTTATGATGTGTTTATCATATAAAGTAATTGCTCTAGATAAAGTCAAATGAATGAGCATTTCTGCTAACTGCCCAAAGCAGGCTACTCTGCACAGATCACTTAACTGCCATGCTGCTCACACTTCTTTGTGTATTGAAGTGTCCCTTTAATCATCTCTCTTCCTTTCTACCCCTTCTTACTCCTACTGATGACCAGCTCCCGTCAGCAAAGCCTCTCCCATTACAGGTGGTATCCTTGTAGAACATTCTGGAGCATCTGTCTTTTATAACTACATATGTTTTCAGTTATGAAAGATGATCATTAACAGGAATATTGTCGTCTTTTGAACTTTTTCCCTCAAGAATGTTCACCTATATACCCACAGTGTCATTACTGTCAAGAAATTCAACACAATATCAGCTTCCCATGTTGTCTATCTTTAAGTGCTGTAGTTCCCAAAATGCCCTGTATAGTTAGTTGTATACTTCCAATAAGCCCATCAAGGACCATATACTGAGTTAGACTCCTTTTTAAAAATCTGTAACAGTACTCTAGCCCCATTCTCCCACCCTCCTCTTTTTTTTTTTTTGTCAGTTATGGGGCTTGAGCTCTGGGCCTGAGCGCTGTCAGCTCTTCAGCTCAAGGCTAGCGCTCTACCACTAGAGTCATACCGCCACTTGGGTTTTCTGGTGGTTTACTGGAGATAAGAGTTTCACGGCTTTTCTTGCCTGGGCTGACTTTGAACCTTGATCCTCAGATCTCAGCCTCCTGAGTAGCTAGGATTGCAGGTATGAGCCACCAGCCTCTGGACTTCCCTTCCTTTTTAATGACATTATTTTTTTATTTAAATATATTTTCTTATTGTAAAGATACTGTACAGAGGGGTTACAGTTACATGAGGAAGGTAATGAATAAGTCCAATTCCTATCAAGCATGCACATGCACACACACATATATACATACCACATTTTCTTGATGCATTCATCTACCAGGAGGCAGCTGGGGTGGTTCCATATCTTAGCTATGGTGAATAATGCTGGAATAAACGTAGTAGCTTTAGTATGGCATTATTTGTGCTCGTTTGGGTAAATGCCTAAAAGTGAGATTTCTGGGTCATAGGGGAGTTCTATGTGGAGTCTTTTGAGGAACCTCCATACTGCTTCCCAAAGTGGTTGAACAAGTTTACACTCCCACCAACAATACAGTAGGGATTTTCACAATTAAAAAAAAAGATATTGTCATTTCATTAAAGATAATTTACAATTGCTACTAAAACAAACAGAAAACAATACAGTAGGGCTCCCTTTTGAATGGCATTACATTTTTTGAAACTTCCATGCCAGTGGGTTATAGGCCGCACCTTACCTTTGGATTGCCTGCCTACAGAGGATTAAGGTTCATCATCCCATGCTTTCTCTCTGTGTCACTTCAGGAAGGGAAGGATGTCAGTTTGTCTCATATGATGAAGTTGATAACAAATTTTCTGTTTGTTATGAGTAATGAGCACTTTGAAAAGATGTATCCTAACAGTCAGTCACCTGAGTTTCATACCTATTGCTGACATGCTCAAATCAATCATACTAGTTTTCTTTCATTCTTTCCATTCATTCATTGGCAGTCTTACAGCATGCTTTGTACAGCATACACAGTACATGCTCTGTACAGCATATACAGTCCCTGGCCTAAAGAAGAAATGGTTTCATCTGAAGGTACATTAGATTTGCCCTAGGCTGTCTAAATTAGGATTCCCCAGGGGAAAAGGCCAGGCACGAGCATCCCTTTAGAAAGTGTCCCAAGTGACTGCAGTGTGTAGCCTAGAACTGGGTGAACTTGTGTCCAGCTTGCCATGGATGAAAATCTCAGTGGGAGCGAGCAGTGGCCCAGCTTTAAAAGGCCATCAGGTCACTGCAGCTCATTTCATTGTCAAGAGCTGATGTTCTACAGTCTACGTTTACTTGTCTGGAGAAGGAACTTAAGTACTGGAATATTTTCTGCCACCACTCATACATGTTAGAA